TGTACCAATAAACTTAATGGGCAGGGGGAGAAAGTCATGGCCCAGCCTAGAGTGCCACATACCTGTCACCAAGCTGAAGTGTCCTTTTCTAACATCTCTATCCTTCCATCCTTTGTGACCCATGTACTTGGGGCTGATTCTCAGGTCACCAACCCTGGAAAATGGATGAATCTCTGTGAAGACTCTAACACTGTGATCCGCGGGGTGACCTCCTCAGTGCCCTCCTTGCCACTCCCCGATATCCTCCTGATGGCCACTGTCACCTGGCCCCAGGGTCAGCTTTCCACCTGGAATGCACCTGAGCTTGCCCCAGTCATGACCCTCAGCAGGTAAAGAAAGGCTGGAGGGAGGGGTAGGATGCTGACTGGTTTATGCACTGTTCTGCAGCTGGATTTAGATCAGAAGGAAGGACAGTGGTCTTTTCATTTTGTTTTATTCTTTTTTTTTTCACCAGGAATATCAGATAATTTATTTTTTGGTACCCAAGATCAAGCTCAGGACCTGGTGCTCGCCAGGCAGGTGCTGTGCCACTGAGCTACATTCCCAGCTAGATAATTTATAACCCAAATAAAGCAGAAAATTGAGACTTAGTAAAACATTTCATTCATGAGATAAATCAGGAGAGTAACTAAATTGATGATTATATTACAAATGTATAATATATTACAAACGGTTTTATAGACAAGAAATTTTTGAGTTTGCTTACTTGGAAAGTAGTACCTAGAGATATAGGTCTGACACATAGAACACACACACTCCTTTGGTGGATTAAATCTTCCTTTTAGCATTAAGCATGTCACTGAATCACAACAGATTTCATGGTACAGCCACCATCATATTCTGAAGTTTCTTCTAGTGCCAGGAAATCTAGATTCCAACTTCCACGTATAAGCAATTCAATTTCTTCTGCTCTGAATAAGTATTTTAATTGAGAATCACATATATGGTTGTATGAAAATTTCTCCAAATGCCTGGATTGTTATTCTGTTGATTTAAAGAGAATATAGTCAGAATAGAGACTGACAAATTCCTTCCTGTTTTCATTTGTAATTACAGTGTCCTTTAGTCTATAAGCTATATGGAACCCTTTTATGCATTCATTTAACAAATATCTAGCTAGCATCTATATGTACCAAGCTCTGTGCGTGGTTCTGGAGATGGAGCAGTATACAGTTCCTACCTCACCTAGTGTGGTGGCTCACACCTGTAGTCCCAGCACTTGGGAAGCTGAGGCAAGAGGATCTCCACAAGTTCAAGGC